CAGTAATGGTACTGAAAAAAAAAAAAGAACTGGAAGAAGGTAACTACAGTCACAACTGATCTTACTTAAGTTTTTCTATGTCTTTGGAATAGCAAATGTTTTAAGAAAAGAAAAGAACTCTGGTCCTTATACAGCAAAGAGAGGAGGAATGTCTTTACAACAGAAACAAAAACCAAGAAATTTTTGACAACTCCATTTGGAATCTTTCACCTCACTTTCAAGAAAGATGCATTCAGCCTGGAGTGGGGAATGGAGAGCCCACATTGCAAAGGAAAACAGGGATGTGTCTTCCTAGCTCTAAGAAAATACTACATTTCTCTTAAAACAAAGCAGCCCACTATAGAAATAATAATTCCAGTAATAGGACAGTTGTGCTAATCCCCCTAGAGAAAAATCTCATTTTACCTGTACAGTACAGAAGTCAAAATATTCGAACTAGAAGGATGCTCGACCCATATTTATTTTCCATGCCTTTCAATAGGAAAATGTGTTCCAATGCTAAGCAGTCCATACACCCTTGGTTTGCTATCTGTGCAGAAGATCTTATTCTAAATGTGCAGCTTAATTTCATGTGTTTTAAACTTTCCATGTTTAATCAATTACAATAATAATATATTCCTTAAAGCTCTTCCAGCAAAACCACCAGTTTTGTACTTTTTTTGAAGAACAGTGTTCTTCTATTTATTTTCATTTACATTTAATTCCAATTGTTTCATAGCCTAGTATACTGTTTACATATATATTTCTTCTTGCTAGCATTTATTATAATTCCTACATCTTAATTTGTATTCTATTTCTGACCCATCGAACGTGTACTTTTATAACTTATCTGTTGAACTCAAGAGCTTGAGTTTGTGTTTCAAGATACTAAATCCCATTTAGGACTCATTTTCTCCCTTCCACAATTAATTAATAATAGTCTGAAGTTCATTGACTGCTCCAGTTGTACTAATAGTATTTTTAGTTTGATCGTGTCAGCAAATTGTAGACACCCTGCAAAATCTTGTTCTTGCTTTTTTGCTCTCAAAATACACATTAATCTAGTCCCAGTACCGCAGTGAGACTGCGTGGCCCCAATACATTAGCTTTGGTTTTGGCCTGAGACTGTAAGCCAGTCTTTTATTCTTTTCTTCAGTTTGAATAAAACCTTAAAACCTTGATAAATGTTTCTCCTGACCTTTGTGATAAAAATTCAGGAAAATCCACGTATATACTCCTGGGTTTATATATAACTTCTTAGAGAACTCCCAGTTTTGTATCATAAATCCTATTCTTTCTTTACCAGCATCAAGCAATTTGATTTATAATACTCTAATGTTTTCCCTTGTACTTACAGTTAAAAAACAGAATGGCAATCATATGCAAGTTGGAGGCAGAGGGAAAGAAGAATACTTTCTTTCTTGTCTCACTAAAATATAACCAAGAAATGCTCTGGTGCTTCTGCAATTTCAACAATAACCAGGTCAGGTTATCTTTTGCCTTCTGCTTGGACAAAAAAAAGCTGCTAAAATGTATATTCATGCACCTATCTGAACAAAGTATGTCTTCTTTGAGATCCCTTTACATAAACTTATACTTAAATTGTAGGTTTGGGCTACTCAGTCTTGATCCAGTATTACAAGTCTGTGGATGATTTTCAGACGGATCTGTCTGACAGTAACGTTTTTTTTTTCATCACACTTCAATTCATAATACCAACATCTATTGATTTCACAATTATTTTTCCTATTTGCCTTCTGCATATACAGCTAAAATTCAAGTAGAGTGCATATCAACCACAAATGCCAATGGTATTTAATAGATGTGCTTATTTCACAGCTGCAAAATCGATCATCTTCAGTGATCTCCATCTTCATCTCTTTGTCACTTCTAGTATTCCAGAGTAATGGAAAATGGACCATTGATAGCTGAGGTCAGCCTTGGGCAAGCTAGCATTCAAAAAACATTCTGATGCTATTGTCCCACCTACTTGATTTAAGGCTAGGTTTTACTATTGCCATTTATCTTAAACTTTTTCAAACTTCCTTTCACAAATAAGGGACTTCTGGCCCAGCTTTTCATTAGAGCCCACTACCTGAAATTCAGTAATTTAACAATCCAATGTTAATCCAATGCAATTACATTTTTTTTAAAGTATATTTGATGGTCTCCTAGAACCATTTAGAAAATGCTAAAAACTAAAAGGACGTGCAAGGCCAAAAACTAAAATGTCTTCTCAGATTTTTTTCAACAGATTTGCTTTCTATCATAGTTGTTAGGAGGTATAATTGTCATATTAATCCTTGTTCTGGCAAGAGGTACATCTCTTTCCATTTCCGAAGGTGACAGAAAAGCTGCCCTACATCTAGACAGTATAGTTCCATGAATAATTGGTTTGCACATTCAATCTGATAGTGAAAAGATGAATATGAATATCCTGCTTATCTGAAATGTAAAATGAAAAAAGCTAAGTCTCCTTCCAGGTTAAGCATTATTTTGAATAGTTCCATTGTCTCGCATTCCTTCTGGTAAAACTTCATCATTTATTCAGTAACTCAGGCGTCTCCAATGCATTAATTGTGAGACAGCCCTTGTTTTGTGAATATAACATTCCTGGCACATACTGCAATTATCTAGCTTCTAAATAAGAAAAAAAAAAAAAAAAAGGAAGACCTGAATGCAGAATCAATTGATTAATGCAAAAATTAAACACCACGTTTGAATAAATGACTTTTATCATTGCTACCCAGTGCTTTACAAGGAGCTGTGCTGTCGCCACTTTAAAAGTTTTCTAAAATATTTTAAATAAAACTTAAAAATCCATATGCAGAGCTTTACAGTTTCAAAGCACATCATCGGTAGTAATTCATCCACAGTCCCAAGACACAGATAAGCACCTGTTACTGCTTATCTTCCAGTTGTTCTGTCCTTAGTGTACACCTAACATGGACAGGTATCACTCTTAGCTGACTCTTAGCACCAAACAGGCTGTGCATCAGTGCTGCAATGTCAAAGACAATGAGAGAACATTTTCCCAGAGGTGAACAGATTATGACTTTCCTTGCAGTAAGTTCAGTAACGTAGGGCTTTTGTTTCTAGTAAAGGAAGGTTCTACTATCCCACCAGCAGAAAGTGCGGAGTAAAAACACGAGGAGAGAAGGCAGTGAGGTTAACCTGGTTTAATCAACATCAAAAGCTTAACTTAGACCTTGAATTAAACTTTCCTCAATGAAATGGTCTGTAAACTAGCACTGTACTACAGTACTCTGAGTATTTAATTTCTCAGAGTTCAGAATTTCCCGTTGTTCAAACTCTTGTATGTGTTATGAATACAGAAGAAATATTTCCAGAAGGTATTTCCTGCTTTGTAATATGCACGTAGGGCTGATACTGCTTCTATATTGATGGTAAGATATTTATGTTTTCTAGAGAAACAGCAAAAGAAGCTTGAGGTTCAGTCCCACACTACTATTCTAATGCCACAAGATAACATAGCTATTTTTCTCACATCGAGCTATGCCTTTTACTATTACCAAAGCCATTCAGAGATCAAACACACATTTTCTTGTGAAAAAAATCAAGCCTATCTTGGTGAAGAAGAGCATTATTTATATAAGATTAGATTTTTTTTCTTTTGTATACCATAAGAACCAATAAAAGATTGCTACCTCTTCTTTCAACCTCAGTAGAAGCAGGGTTCTGCTATGACGCATTAGATTAGCTATTTAATGAGAACCAAAACATATACCTTTCCTCCTTCTTTCAGTCTGTCTGTATGGCCCGCAATACTCAGCATCAGTTGCTGAAACTGCATGAAGAGTAAGCAGCTTCAGCTCTCTTGTGATGCTTCCCTTCCAACAGCCATGGAAAAACTCGATGTAAAGTATTCATCAGACTTTTAAAAGCTCTGGCAGAGTTATTTCTTGGACGCTGAGCAGTAATGTAAACCAATGTAGTCACTGCTGAGAAAAGTTTCGGTGTCTACTTTTAGAATGACAAATGTCCTACAGGTTCCTTAAACACTGGTGTTCCTCTTGGAATCTCTTTTTCTATAAAGGTCTTTTTTCCTCCCAGATGAACTGCATTTTTCTGGATTTCAAAAAAATGGATCTGTGACTCTGGTTTGTAGGCAGTGCTAGATAAGACAAGCCTTCTGTCTCTTTTTGTTCTCTGAAGATATTTGGCTCAGTAGCTGCAGCACTTGAGAATCCTGTTGCTGTTTGTTTTTATAAATTGCTTCCATACTGATGGTAAAAATAGTTAGGCGCTGTTTGTAAATACTATTTCATGCCTCAAGCAGACAAGAAAAAGCTCTGATTTTCCATCTGGCTCCATACTGTTTGATTTCTTAACAGGTTTGAGCCAGTTAGGAAGCTACTGATGTTTTTAATTAAAAATAATTTCAGTTAATATTTTTAATAGAAAATTTTTACTGGGGGCATCCTGTAAGGCTGAAAGAATGGGAAAAAGACCATGCTCTTTTCAGTAGGAAAAATCACTACATTAAAAGTAGTCCTTATTGTAGAGGAGCCTATGGATGGTATGGAATCCTGACTGCACAAGAACTGCCACACCGGGTCAGGCAGGGGGCTCATCTAATCCAGTGTTTCTTCACTGGCATCGACGAGTGGATGCTCAAGTAAACAAGAAGAGCACCATGCTGTGTTTCCCAAGTATCGACACACCTAACTTTAAACAACGAAAATGATAATTAATGAAGTAATTGGTCTAATTAAGCATTTAGTCAAGATACACTTTTTAAAAACCCAAATTGCCATTTTCTGAAGTTCTCCACATTGTCACCATAGCTGGCAGTGGTGAATGAAATCCAGTGCTAACGTGTGAGAGCAGCACTTTTACCAATTACAAAAACTAGCAAACTTAAATCCTGATCGTGCAACAAATCAATGAGAGTTTTCTCACAGTAGTCAAATTGACAACTGGGACCAAAACTGAACAAAATAATCCAAGCAGCAATTTGCTGCTATAAAAAAAAAAATTGTTAATTTCTTTGTACACAGGCTTAAGAAAGAACTGGAAAACTACAAAGACGATGACTGGGAAAGCATCTATGAGACTCTTCGAGCAGAAGTCGAAATGCTGCAAATGGTATGCTATTCTCACTACATATTGTAAGTGCTTGATATGTATAAAGGTGTAATTTAAGATGATTAGCAGTGGTTTCAGATAAGCGTTTTATACTGTATACAAAGCCAACCATCCTTGCATTGCAGGTGCACTCAATTCCCATCTGTTTTAACCTATTGTTTCCAAGTGTCCAGGAGTATAAGCAAAGAAAGAGAATTCAAAGACACATTGTTAACAGAAGAAAGATCTTTACGGGGTATAGCAATAATCATTAATTTCTTGAAAGCTGCAAACTACTATGCATTTAGGAGCTAAGTTAATCTTTAACTCCAGCTGTCAGTTAAATGAAAGATGGGAATATGGAGAAATAAGACCATAATTGCATCCTTTTAGGGAAACATTTTATTTTGCCCACTCACAATTTCTTCACAAAAATCTGTTAAATTATGTTTTTCTCTAGATGTCAGTCCTAACACACATTTTTTGATTGTCAGTCTGTGTAACAACACAAAGAGAAGAAATGTTTTGAAGTCTCATTTTTGAAAACAAAAGGTTTTTAAAAGTTCATTTTGGAGCCCCTGGTTGAGCTGTATGAAGATGCAGCTGTTATTCTGCATCAATAGCGGAATATCAGTCATGGAAATTTTGTATTACTGACTCATGATCATTTTCAAATTCCTGTTGGAGGAATGTAACTTTCTTCTGCTTCATCCATTAATTTTATTATGCCTGTCAAACTTCAGAAACAAAAACAGTGTAATGTTTAAAAGCTTCTCTGTAAAGAACACAGTGAACTCATTCAATTTGATTTTCTATAATTCAATTCTTTCTGTTTTCCAGAAACTATCACAGAAAAAGTCTTCAGACAAGTGAATAATGTGTGACACATCTTATGAAGTGTCACAGAAGTTAGTCTGAGTATTGTAAAACAATTTTACTCGGGGTCTCTCAGGATTGCCTTTCGTGTTTCTCATTTGGTTTAAACCACAAGTTTGTATGTGCCTTTATTTTACATTAAGATTGATTTGTATTAATTTAAAAGTGGGGGGGAGGGGGTTTGTTTGTCTTTTCTCTTTTTCTCTGTGTTCATCCTTTCCTCAATTCAACAGCTATCCATCCTTAGATTCCATCCTTAGATTCCTCTGTTGCTCATGAATGGACAACACTTCATCTGCAACACATACAGCTGAGTTACCATATTACAAACTCCATTTCCTATGTACTGTTTTTTCTCCTTTTAAGTTAGCAATGCGGTCTTAGCTGGGAGGAAGACTGCTATTATCATCAATAAATAAACTGTATTAAACAGCTTTGGCTATATACTTTATAACTTGACAATGCAGTTCTCTGATAAGTTCTCTCAAACAACTCAACTCAATTAATACAGGATGGTTGTACAGAATAATTTATAACTCTGCAGACCAGTAGATGTCTCCAGTTATTGTAAACCAGTCCACTACTTAGCATTTGTGCCATAAAACTTATTCTCTTCTCCCACAACCTATGAGGTACTGAATGCACTTCATCACTTGACAACAGACTAAACTCTATTTAAATGAGTTCACACTTCTGGGGAAGCAGTGAAGAAATTCCATTGAGTAAGGAACCCTCTTCACTCAGGAATGGGCAACATTTTTTCCACCTGAGTGAGACAAATAACTGTTCTGCACTGGTTTTTCTATGCTCAGAGCCCTCAGAGCTCTGCTACACATCAGACTGCAAGAGGTGTTCTATTAAGAAGGTAGGAATCAAACTCTTTGGAAGTTGACCACGTTGTCTCAGATGTTGACAGTTTTTTTCCTGTTCAGACACAGCTGCCTTTTGAAATTTCTGTCAAGGTTTAATCTGCAGCATCGGATCAAAGAGCATTCCGATTCTTTCTGTTAACTAAGATAATTCCAAGAGGTTGGAACTATCCTCACTGCCAGTGCTGTTGGAGAAAATTCCTTATAAGGTTTGCCTTTTCCCTAAAAGAGATATGTTTAAAGATATGTTTAATTTTTAAAGCTGAGATGCTCTCACTCCTATGGGACTGCCTGGCCCTGTAAGCTAGGCACCTACTGCTTGTGGTTTTGGTCAAATTCAGAGCATTTACAAAGTGGCACAGTTGCATATTAGAGTGTCTAAAGACAGCAATCTTTCAGGGTGTCAATGCTGGAAGCAATTATGAATTCATAATTTGCCAGCATGGCAAAGTTTATGCTTGTCATTTTATAAATCTAATTGAGCTTGCCCACATTAAGTATATTAATTAATCAACCAGGAAAAACTTACTTTTAAATTTCATTTTTTTTCAACATACAGTTGCATTATGTACAAGAATCCCTTGCATTTCTTTGGAATGAGCCAATATTTATACTGTTATGCAGTCCATATATGGGAGAAAAAAAGCAGAACAAACCCTCAGGTTATTACATAAAACAGAACTCAGTGGCTTAGATCAGAATTGCAAATGTACAATTTACAGGTAAATGAAATGAGCAATAGCATCCAATAGCCATATTAGATCCATAAATATGATAAATTTATGTCCCTAAGTGGCCTGAAAATACAGCTGGGGAAAAGAAATACAGCGTGCCCTTTTCAGAGTTATTTCTGATTCAACAAAACTCGTTGCAGCTTCAGATTTATTTTTTTGCTTTTTTAAATAGTTGTGGAGGTCTGAATTTTTCATTATTTTAGCAGAATTATAGCATAAGTATAGCAACATTTGTAACAACTCAAATGGCTAAACTTCTCAGAATCAATAGGACAACAAACTAGGAATAAAGCTCACAGAAAGAAAAAAGAAGTGAAACAAATCAATATAAATCCCATTGGGCTGAACAAATCCCTCAACAGCTTTAATAAAATGTGTATTGTTGGACTCACCCAGCTGTTAGAGGATAGAAGTTAAACATACTGATTGCTCCGAGTAGAGAAATACATTTGTCACCACAGTCTCATGATTCATATAATCTGGGACCAATATAATGTTTCCGTCTTGAAAATTCAGGCAAAAAGTTAAGTAAAAAATTTGCTTTGTGAATTATCTTTAAAATTCTCCAATCCAGGAGTGACTAATCCTTAAAATAAAGAGCGAGAAAGAATCAGAACTCTTCTTATAGTTAATTAATTTGTCAAAGAAGAGAAAATTGCCAAACTACCATGAAAACATAGATAGAGTTAATGGGAATAAATCAATTATTTCACAGATGACACCGTAATAAATATTATTTTTTTAAGTATAGAACATACATTGGATTGAGAACTGTGTTTTCTAGGAACAGAGAAATACCTCATTTTTTACAGCGGCTAAAGAACTGCTTAAGATTAAAATATTTACCTATAGGGATTGAGATATGTCAAGAGTCACGTCCCACATGCTTTATAAATGATGAACTCCAGCTTTACCTAGGCTTACATGCCGACACCACAGCACCTCTGCTCTGTGACCACTTCCCCTTAAGATACAGCTGAGCAGACAAAAAATGTTTTAAAATCACAGCTCCCGATCATACTTTCTAAAAGGCATTTCTTCCAGTTAGCAGCCCAATGCAAACAGGTGATTCCAGTGGAGAACCTCTGGAGAAAGATAATCCAACTGCAAACTAGTTACGCCAGGATTTAGACCCAGGACTTGTCATACAAATAAATCTACAAGACCGGCTGTTGGGGAAACCCGACCAGGAAGTTGTCAGCCTATGGGGCCATGCTCAGAAGCAGGAAAATCAAAGAGCAAAATACCCAACAAGCCAGAAAACAGAACAGAAACGACAGGGAAGAGGATAATTTAACGGTACCAAAAGCCCCTGATGTTACTCACTTTACTCAGTTATCTCCCTATTTTTTTGGTGCAACTGGCAGAAAAGGGTGAAAGAAACTAAACAGTGCACTTATTTTGATCCTTATAACAAGGAGTTAAACCACCACATTTCCCTGTTCTTTGTTGATTATTAACGGCCCAAATGAAAGACTGTACATAGATGAAAACCACTAAGATATCTGACCACAGAATAAACTCACAGTTAGCTAATGCAACAGTACCCACACAAATTATCTCTAATTGGTTGATGTAAATGCAATTGAATTCAGAGTACTGACAAATTATTGTTAAAACAATAAACAAGAAATAAAGAATATGTTGTGCATACACATACATTAAAAGTACATACAGCAGAGTGACACACCGAGTTGGGGAGCAAAAAATCATAATATATGGCATGGGACAAAACGCCAATTAATGTCCCAAGTGAAAGGAATATTTATTTTTAACATCTGAAACTGAATTATATGTATAGATCAGAAAAGGCTAGAAAACGTACCTGCAAGGCCAACCTCTGCCACAAGGCTGTGGTGAGGAACATGAGTGCAGGTCAGTAAGGAACTGGAGCACTTAGAATTGGGTTTGCATCCTAAGAAAGAATACATATCTGAATTCGTAAAGCATCTCACTTTGATGAAAAGCACAGAAGAGACAACAGGCGGGTGTGAGAGAGTCACAATTCCTGCAATAACGATTGGAAAGAACAGAAACAGAAGAGAGAGCTAACTGGCTTGTGACAGCCTGATCTGGAGTAATGTCCAGAAGCTTTCAGCAACAGAAAACAGCCCTGGGAGATTTCTATGAGAAGATAACAGATTTAGTAGGTAAGCTGTATGCCCATTTTGTAAACTTGACAATGCAATAAATAGCTACTGGGTGAAGAGAACTAGCAAAACAGTTCCAGTTCTCTGCTCTGAAAAGAGCTGTGGCACTACAGTATGTTATCTGGGTAAAGGATCAGATTCAACATCTAACGATCTATGCCTTGCTTGTCAATAGAGTATTTAAGTAATTGTTCTGTGTCTTTTGAACTGTTCTAATCAGAGCTGACTTGCACTGCTGATATATCTCAGAAATAGTCCAGCCTTCCAAATTCCCATCATTCTCACTGTATGTGCTGGCATTTGTCAGCCTCTTACACCAATGACTTGTGTAATTATTTGGTTCTTTTACATTCAGTGAATTCGGGAAGGGAGTTGATTTTTACCAAATTTCTCTATGCTTCTTTAATTCTCTAGATATCAGACTAATATTAATAGTTCCTTTTGTATGAAAATATCTATAGTCTGTGCTAAAATGATTAGGTTTTAAAATACCTACAGAATGACAGTTTTCAAATGTCTCGTGAGTAAACATCCTAAAGACCAGATTGGTAAAAACTTCCACTGTGTAGATATTCCAAGTAGGCAATAGACCTTATTCAGCAGGCCAAAGTCAAGGCACCATTACTGATTCACAGACACCTTGAGTTCCCTGCTGATACATGTAGGTTTTGATGGTCTTCTTAGCATGGAATTGTTGGTAGAAAGCTCGTATTTCAGTTATCGTTTGACTAAAATCATACCACAAAGTGAAATACAACAACACTTGCATCTTCTAAAACATTGGATGTGTCACGCTAAGCTATAAGCTTTCTGCATTTCTTTACAGCCAACCTGTGCAGGAACTCCCAGCTTTCTCTACTCCTTTGATCGCTCCCATCAGCCTGTTGGTCAGTTTGGACGGCTGAGAAGCCCAACAGTTTCTTTGGAAACGTGCAGTGGGAGCTGATCCTTTCCTCCTGCTAGATATCACGAGTGTTTAAAGGCACGTACACTTGTTAGAAAAACATTGCCTTAGATTTTTACATGAAAATAATATTTTAACTAGATGAAATGCCAGAAATGACTCTTTATAAATACAAAGAACATTTGTTGTTTTATTGAAATGATAATTCCTCTTACTGTGTACTAACTTCCAAGTGGTCTTGATATCACATCTTAGTGAGAAAAGAGACCATACCCTCCCTTTCCCCTTAGAATAGAGCACTGTAATTTATTTAACTGAATTCATTCTAGCAAGAAGAGAA